TAATTATATATATTTATATCTGACCAATTACACCATTTTTTCTCGGATTATTACGTAAAAAAATACAACTAACAATAAGTATTAAACAACGAAAATCAAAAACAATTCAGATTAACAAGAATTTTTTTTATTTTTCCAAAAAATCTATTTTATAACTTTGAATGCGTTATGCATATACAAAAACACAAGAAGTAGCGGTTTACTAATCTGTAAGATAAATATATAAATTAAACAACGTCACGAACGGGTAAATTGAGTGATAAAACCATGATTTTTTTTCAACACGTCAGAATATTTTTAAACTCGAGAAACTCGATCATTTTTTATGTCATATATTTCATGTGATGTTGATGTCTGGTCTGCAGTAGTGAAAACAATGATCATAATGATGAAAACGGCCGTACATACATTTCAGCGCTATGATTTACGGTTGAGCGTACATACGTAAAAAGAAATTTCAAAATTGTTTTTTTGAAAAACAAAATCTTATACAAAAACAATTTATTTACAAATTTCGACTTATTTTTTAAGAAAAAATTATTCTATATTCATATGTACCACGTTTATCGCTGCATTATGGCATTTAAGTTTATATAAATTTTAATATAAATTATGTATCTATAAAATTAATATAATTTATGTATATTTATATCCTAATACAAGAAATAACACGTTGCATATGTATGTCTTGAATTACTCGTTTAAATAAAAATAAATAAAAATATATAAATTATATATTAATTTGGTTAATATATAATTTAAATATTTTAATATTTTTATTTTTTTCTATTTTAACATAATTTAAATTACGATATATTGTTTCTTGTATAAGAGTATACAAATGTAGAAATATGTGTATGTTGGATAAAAACCTTACTGTTTTTCGTTTTTATATGGTTTATCCAAATACTTTTATGATTATCGTGCTATCATGTTTTTATTATAGATAACATTATTTAATAACGTAATATGCTAGTAAATTTCAAAATTATGAAACATCGAAGATCAAGACTGCTTGCAATGTTACAAGATGCATTAAAGAGTAAAAATGTTGCATTTTAATATTAGGTGAATTTTGAAAGTATGTATTTTTTCATCACTTTGCGATAAAACATTCCTGTAGATTGTGATATGGCCTGCCATAAAAAGTGCGAAAAGCTGACAGGAAATCTATGTGGATTAAACCAAAAGTTAGTCGCGGAAGCGTTGCTAGCTTTGAAGAGAGGTGAGTAGTGCTCTGAATACTTCGCATTGTCCATAACACTGGTCTGCAAAATTTAATTTATTTTTATTGTCTGGAAAAGAAGAGGAGTTTTTCGTACTTTTTTGTGCACTGAATTCGATCTCAAAAAGTATACATCATATTGGGATTTTGAGAAAATCAAAACGAAAAACATGTAAAATAGGACAAAGCATTTTAGCCATGCTAAAAAAATAAGTTCTGAAAAAAATAAGTTTTTTCTTTAATAACTATTTAATAACTATTACGTTATTTCATAAAGTATTAATTCTCCTCTTTAAAATGTACAAATAAATTGAAAAAAAATAATTGTAATGTAGATCACTTTCATAGTAAAATTAATGTCACTTATACCACTAGATAGTCTACTAGATTATCAACCTTAATTAGTTGATGATAAATATGATCTGAAAATCTCATATAGAAAAACAAATAACAACACAAAAGATCTGCTCATACAAGGTATATTTATTAGAAAGTTCTTTTTTAAATAAACCAGCTTAGAAAAATAGTAAGAAGACAAAATAGTTTATTTAAAAAAAAAAAAAAACATTTTAAATAACATAAACAAAACTGCAAAAAGAATATTATTTTTAAAATACTAAATGTAAATGTAAATTTGGCAAAAATAGTTATTTTTTAAAGTTGGATTTAACGTATAAAAAGTACAGAAAATAGTTTTTTTTTGGGAACAAGAAATCTAGCAGTGCTATCTGCAAAGTAGTATTATCTAACTGCAACATTTTAAGAAGCATGACTTCACACGTGGCACTTTTCTTCATTTTTCGTCCGATTCCATGCTTATACGAATACATAGGTAATTTTAAGCGGTCAAAGTTATTTTTAAAATATGTTACAACGGCCAAACTGCACTGTCAAACGTTTTTACGTGCCAACAGCAATATTGAAGAAGACAATTAGCAAGCAGTTTTATATAGTCGCAAGAAATTTCTTTAAAATACAAAAAAAATCTTTATATTCTATTATTATTATTTTCACACACACACACACACACACACACACACACGCGCGCGCGCGCGCGCGCGCGCGCGTGCGAATATATATGCTATGTAATAATAATATATGTGTGTGTGTATGCATCTGAAAATAATAATAATAGAGTGTGAGGATTTATACACATATATATTGTTTATAAATTTATATACTTTATTTACTATTACAGATAATGTTATACATTCCCTGTTTTTCTATATTTAGCATCGATTCTTTTATGTTTATTGCATCCAGAAGTTGGAATCAAATTACTGCCTCAGTTAAGCAGATTTTTTAAATGAATTTGCGAGACCAATAATATGTACTCTAACATATAATTACGCTGAGAAAATAAGTGGTTAAATACATTTAATTGATAATTATTACTTTAGTTTAAATATTTAAATTAAATCTGCATCGGTAATATTATTAAATTTGTATATTTTAAAATAAAATAGTTGTATTGATATATTTAATTTAGTGAATCATAGATTTTATAGTTTTAACCAACACGTAGTCAATCTGAATATACATATATACATATACATATATACATATATATATATAAGTTTTTAGATATAAAGATACAATGTATCATTTAGTGTATTATTGTAGAGTATAATTTATTTACTTACTGTAGAGAACAGAAAAAAAACGATCGCATCACCGTTTTGTTTATGTAAATAATAAATAACAAAGTAAATAAAAGTTATACTCTCCATTATATGTTTGTATCTAAAAATTTTTTTTTTATACCTAAAACATTCAAGTGCAATTTCTCGAGAAATATCCACTCAAATTAAAAAAAATTACACACAATTGTAAAGAGAATCAAAAGATCTTTAAAATAATGGACCACTAGACCCTATTGTCATTTAAGATTTTTGAAGAACTACTCCTACAGGGAGATGAAGCAGTACCGTTGAATTTATCGTATTTACACGTCTCCCTCGAAAACAAAGTTGACCTCTTTTGGCATATTTCGCAAAAATCATTGTCATAAAATAAAAGGTGGAAAGTTTTATAATAAACACCCTGTATATATATAGCAACAGTATTGAAACAAATAAATAATACAGTCAATAAACTAAATTAGTGTAATATTATTTTGTATTGACTAAGACGTTTAATTGTATCAAAAAATATTATTTTTTATTCATAACTTTTTTTCTCAGTGTACGTATAAAAGCATGCACATCTCTAATTGTGATCTATTATATACTCTATATTACTCAACTAAAATCGTGGATTTATTAATGTAATTATTATTTATCCTTAGCACCTTCGCAATCATCGGAGAATCAACGTAACTCAGACTCCTCGGATCATTTCCCGACTGGTCGAATAACACCACCGGCGACAAACTTGCCAAGGTTCAAGAAGTATGCCGTGACAGACTTTAATTTTCTCAAAGTAAGTCCAAACTATAAATTTGCGCCGATAATTTCGTCAGCGATGAGATGTCTGTATTATTTTAAACGAAATTGGTGCTCGTAACATTGCGTTCGCGTATGTCTAATCTTGTTAATTCATACTACACCTGTTCTCCACTTGGTAACTTTTCGTTTGTTGCGATATGCATTAATACGCTCTATTCGGTTTTGCTTTGAAAAAAGCTAGCCAACTATTCCTAGACTATATTACGTGTCTGATGCATATAATCGTGTTGTACGCCTACATATGCGCACGTGTCCTTCAAGGGAGTGCTATAGAAAAGTAAATTTTACATTTTTTAATCATTTTCTTATTGTTACGATTTGAATATTTGGATTAATTTTCCGTAAAATTGATAAATATAAAAAAAATATTAAATAGAATAAAAAGTTTATTCAAATGCTGTTAACAGATGATATTGAAAATGATTGGCATTACCAACGTCATTTGCAGCCTAATAAATGTATAGATACGTATATGATTGTATAGATATGTATATGATTTAACAGATTTCTTTTCCCGGCCAATTAATGGAAGCATCATGCAGATCAGCTAAATAATTGAATTATACAGGGTGTTATTAAAATAAGGGGACAAACTTCAGGGGCCAGCATCCCACACCAAAACAAGAAAAAAAGTTCATATCAACATACATCCGTAAACCCACTGTTACTGAGATACAGCTCAAACGAAAGTTCGAAAGCGTCAAACTTTGTGTAACAAAATAGTTGCAAATGTTTAGATGTCAGTGTCTCTTATCTCCCCTAGTTTTTTATCTATAGGGACATTTAAAGTCCTTAGTTTATAAAGTTCAAATCAACAACGAAGATATGCTACGCCAATGCATCTTTACTGCTTATGAAACCATTCACAACCAAGATCTTTGAAAGAGTGCGACAGATCATGATATATATATATATATACAGGGTGTCTCATTTTAAGTGGGCACCCCTGTTAACTTCGCAAGAAATGGTTAGATAAAAAAATATTTTCTATAAAAGTTGTTGGGTTTGGAGGGGGACATCTGATGATGCCATTGGTTTAACCTAGGGTGTACATGCCAAGATCATATGGAGGTCAACTTTGTTTTTTTAAATGGAACATTCTATTTTTGATTCCAGAATCTAATAGCTGGTGTCAAGTGCTTTTCAAAACACTATAATGAAGTTATTTTTCGTTAAGTACTTTTCGAGTTATGAGGCTTGAAAGTTACAGCATTTTGACTTAAAATACAAAATATCTTGTAAAACATTCAATTTTTGGAAATCTTATCTTAATACTTTTATGCACAAAATAATGAGACGAATCAATTGGTGTATAAAGAAAACACATAGTTGCTTTCAAGAAAAAATATGTAATTTGCAACATGCAACTGCATTACTTTTTTTAAAACCAATGTGTTTTCTTTATACCAATTCATTTGTCTCATTATTTTGTGCATAAAAGTATTAAGGTAACATTCTACAAAAACTGAATGTTTTACAAGATATTTTATATTTTATGTTAAAAT